TGTCAACTAATACGTCTTTATTGCTGAAAAATTCTAAATACAGATAATCAGAAGTAAGAAAATGGAAATCACTTGTGATTTCATTATTGGGAGATAATCCCTGTTAACATTTTAACATTTCTGTAATTTTTAATGAAATCTGTGCTTTTACTAACTATAGAAACATAACATTTTTGAGTATATTCCTGAAACTTTAAATCATGTAAGAAGGTTTAAGGAAGGAAACCAGGGTTCTAAATCCTGGTCTTGCCATTAATTATGTAACCTTAACCAAATCACTTAACCTGATGATCACAGTTTCTTCTCTGAAATGAGGAAGTAGGAATGGACGGTCTGAGGACTATCCCAACTCTGAAATTCATTGACTTTGACATTTTAGGTGATAGTGTTTAATTGCTACACTTGCCTGGTTAGTGATTATTTCTTCTAGGATTCTGTATCTGCCCGATTGAAAAAAGACCAGTCTTTTGTTCTACATTACTTATTTTGTTCTACATTACCGTCTTTGCTCCTCTACCTTTGTATATCTTACCTCTGTCCTATAGGTCCTGAAACTAGAGATTTATAAAACTGATTACTGTCCTCAGGGTAAAAGGTGTATCTGTGTGCCCTGCCTTTTCCCCTTGCCTTATGGTCTTTGAAATAACCAACATTTCTCATTTATATAAGTAAGTCTTGAGTTTTACAATTCTAAATCAATTGTATTAATCAATTTTGCTTAGTAGAAGTCCTCTTCTTGGCACTCAGCTCTTCTAGTTACTTGTTTTTTCTTCGTTTTTAACCAAAGCAGCAGTGACTAGAGGCTTAAGTTAATAACTTATATTGAAATGCCTCCACTGCATAGAGTGGAAAGGATGAAAGCCCTTTACAAAATAAGACTAGCATGCTTTAAATAAAGAACTCTCCATTGGAATGAGGTAAACAGCGAACAGAAACACTGTAAAACCCTTCCTGCTCTCCTGGTAACTTTGGCTCCCCTAGGCAATTGAATGAACTTTATAGTCTTTCTAAACAGTATCTCCATAGTGGTTGATTTCATATTTGAATTAAATGAGTATGTACTGCTTTTAAGATTAGGATGTAAGGGGGTCCTTTTTCTACAGAATGGTTGGATGGCAGGGATATTTATTTAAAACTCATTACCAAAAAAGGCAGGGCTATTTATTTAAAAATTATTACCAAAAAAGGCAGGGATATTTATTTAAAAATTATTACCAAAAAATCATAGAATTTGTGTACCTAAATTTGTCAAATGTTCATTTTCTTTCAGAAAAATCCTTTTGGGACTTATTGCTTTCTCTCCCAGTACATTCTGGTGGGTGGCAGGGTTGTTTATTTGTTTGTTTTTGACCCATACCAGTTTTCAAAAGCACTTTCGCTTTCATGATTTTTTTTTTCTTTTGGCTTTTACTTGTCTTCTAGTTAGACAGGTTTAAAGAACCTCCAGCCTTTGGGCCAGTGTGTGACCTGCTTTGGTCCGACCCCTCAGAAGATTATGGCAATGAAAAGACCTTGGAGCACTATACCCACAACACTGTCCGAGGGTGCTCTTATTTTTACAGGTAAGCTAACCTTTAGAATTATAGAGTTGGGAAAGGAAATGGCAATATAGTTTATCAAATTATTTTTAAGTATTTATATCTTGAATTTGTGTGGCGTAGGGACTTTTGTTTAATTTTTTGATTAATAGAAGGCAGAAAACTCTTGTTTCTTTGTTTTCATATTTTATTAGGATTTATGCCCAATAAGTGTAGCATACCCAACCTGACTGAACAGAACATCTTGCATTGTTTCAATGTTGTTGTCTGATTTTCAGCAATCTAGATTATTTGTTCCCAAACATCATTATAGACTTTTTTAAAAAATAAAGATTTCTTGGCTCTTCCCCTAGACATTCTGATTCGGTAGATCTGAGATGGGGAACCCTGTTGTTTTTAAAAAAGCTCTCCAGCTTTCGGAACCACTGATACAGGCAAAGATATAAAAAGACCGGGACATGGTGACCTGAGCTCAGGACGTTTCCAGGAAGTTGGCTGTTGTCTTAAATCTCATGCGTAAGCTTTCATTGTGCTTCACCACTCAAAAATAGGGAGATACAGGAAAGTCCAAAGTCTAAATTTTTTAACCTTAATATTTTATTATGACAATAAATACATGTATTTAGTCCCCTAAAAATCTGTTAATTGCCTAAGATAAATGCATTCATTAAATGGAAGCCACATATAAAAAGTAAGGAGCCTCAGTTTTAGCATAGTTTTAACATTCTTCAAGCAACCTTTTTTCATTCCTTTCTGCCAACGTTAGCAGTGACTGATATAGTGAAAGCATTTAAACTTTACTTCTCTTCACATTGCTTAAAGAGCGTAACCCTTTATTGTTAGCACAATATAAATTGGTACAATTTCTGTGGAGGTCAAGTTGGCACTCTCTCTGAGTTATTGCCCATGGCCTTTGATCTAGAAGTTCTACTTCTAAATCATAATCCTGTGGCTATGTGGTTTATCTTCGTTATTCACAAATTCTAGTTTGCAGATTTGCCTACTTGCTAAGATTTATTTGTAACCCCAAACCGATACTCATAGCATTTTCATGGTCATTCATGGGCATGCGTACATACAGAGTGACAAAAAATCTGAGTCACTCTACGTGTGTTTCCAGCAGAAGTGGAAGGAGTGGCTCTACCTCTTGCTTCAGCTCTCATACTGTAAGCAGGTACTCTTTCTGTGGTCTATTTCGTATAACATTTTTCACATTTTTTGGTCGATTTTCCTTTTAAAATGGCTCCGGGCATATTGCTGAAGTGCTGTCTAGTGTTCCTGCATGCAAGAAGGCTGTGGTGTGCCTTACAGAGAAAATATGTGTGTTATAGAAGCTTTGTTCAGGAATGAGTTATGGCATTGTTGGCCACGAATTCCATGTTAATGAATCAACGATATATATTAAATAAAGTGTTTTTATTCAGAAACACACATTAACCAAGGTTATATATTGATCAGTTGATAAAATGTTGTGACCAGGGGCTCACAGGACCCTAACCCTGTATTTCCTCTAGGAGTGGTGGTTCCGCATTCACTCAGTTTTTCAGTTTTTACAGCAACTTTATAGAACATAGGTGCTGCAAATAACAAGAATCACTGTACATTGCATAATGTATGTAACAAAATTATTCATTGCTACGTTATTTATGATAAAAAATTTAAAACAACCTGAATGTTCAGTAGAAGACTAAATAAATTGTGATACATCCTGGCAATGGACTGTATCAGACAATGCAATGAGGCTGTTCGTTTTTTTTTTTTTAAGTGAAAAAGGAAAAGAAACCCTTTATATACTAATATGGAATAATCACTAATGTAAAGTGAAAAAAAGACATACTACAGAGCTATGTGTACCATCTGATAATACTCTTAAAAGTTGGGATGTACGTGTGTGTGTGCGTGTGTGTGTGTGTGTGTGTGTGTGTGTGTGTGTGAATTGCTTGAAGTTAAATAGAGTGTCTTTAAAAGGGTACTCCGAGAAACAAACATTGGTTGTTTCCAGGGTAGCTGGAAGATAGCGATAGGAAGGAGAGAGCCATTTCACTGTATCCTCTTTTGTATCTTTGAATTTTATACCTCTTTTAAAAGTTAGTTTTTTTAATGAGCACAATAAGAAACAAAGATTTAAACATAAACTAAATAATTAATACTTGGCTCATTCCAAGATAATTTTATATTCTCCAGTTCTTCTTATCAGGTATTTCTCATTCAGAAAGGCCATAGGACTAAAAGAATTATGTCAGGAGTAGATGCAGACATCATACCTTTCATTAGAATGAGGTTGGGTATAATATTTGCATTTACTCCTGAAAGATTCCTGTATGATATCATCTTGGTGTTGATATTACCTGTGAAGCTATAAGTAGGTTCTTTAATTTTCCTAACAGTTTGACAATTTAAAAATTTGTGTGTTTAGTTTCTGGCACCTACCACACATGTGTGTGCATGCACGAGCACACACACACACTTCCATTTTCCTTTTTTTATATCGAGAGACTAAGGAACGTTTGGGTGTTGTGTTACTATTGTTGTGGGTTAAAACAAACAAATTTAAAAGGTGGAGAGCTCTCTTTCTGTCCTAGGTTTGTCTGTTATCTGCATATTTGATCTGGAATGAGGTATGTTAGTAAAGTGGAAAAACAGAATGATGATTGCTAAGCTAGTAATACAAGTTCAGTGGTACGTAAAACTTACCATTTTGAAACAGAATCAACTCATGTTATCCTGACTTATCCCCTTCCTCCTCTTAAAAATTAACTGTTTTAATTCTGGATTTATGTTTTCTGATTTTCTTTTTCAGTTACCCTGCAGTTTGTGAATTTTTGCAGAATAATAATTTGTTATCAATAATCAGAGCCCATGAAGCCCAAGATGCTGGGTAAGTTATATTAAAGCTGTACCAAATATCACTGCAGAGTTTTTGCCTTTAATATCAAGACAGACAGGCTGTCCTCTCTCTTCCAGGTATCGAATGTACAGGAAGAGCCAAACAACAGGCTTTCCATCACTCATTACAATTTTCTCTGCCCCCAATTACCTAGATGTCTATAACAATAAAGGTAAAGGAATCCAGCAATATTTAAGTTTGGATTTGTGAGTAAATGTGAGCTGTAGTTTAAACATATATGTATATATGTATTTTTTAATATATGTAAGAAGAATAAATTTTTTCAGGTTTAAGTTAGAACAGTTATCAAGTATCAGTTTTGGTGAATTGAATTTATAACAGTACCTCAATAAAATGCCATCATTTAGTATTTTAATGTGTGTGAATTATTAAGCTATCTTTGTTCTTCTTGAGGAATAGTATAAGTAGAATGAATACTATACAAAAAGTCAAACTCTTCATTTTACTCCAAGCCCTGCCAGAAACTAATAGTGTGACTTTAGGTAAGTCATATAATCTCTTTGAATTTCAGTTTCGCAAACAGCAAAAGAGAATTAGATATACAGATGCCTTTCAGTGCAGAAATTCTACTTCTAAGACTTCATCCTATTAAAAGTCCTTTCTTAACTTTTATGATACATAGTTCATAAGTTTTGTATCAGGGCAGTGGTCCACCAAAACTTCATGCCTCTGTAACTATTTTGTTGTTTATAAAGTATGACTATAAAATAATAGAACTTTTAAACAAACATGCCAGAGCGTATATACCCAAGTGAGTATTGTCCCTTTAAAGTAATTCCTTGGGAGGCTGTACACGTATTCCAACAATGCTGCCATTGTTCAGAACATTTCTGGAACACTCCTCTTTTGGCATTGCCTTCAGAGTCTGCGGCACATTCTTTTGCTATTATCCTCAGTGATGAGAAATCTTCGTCCTTTGAGGGTGGATTTGATTTTTGGAACTGCCAAAAGTCATTCGGAGTCAAGACTGTTGAATAAGGTGAGTGATCAAACTAGACGATACCATTTAGGTTCAGAAACAAGGTATGATTATAAGGTAATGAGACTGGTTTTCCTTGTGTTGCTTATAAAATGGCTCTGGAGGCAATTCCGAAAGAGGAGTTCCAAAAATGTTTTGAGTAACGGCAGCATCTTTGAATTAAATACACAGTAAGGCAGCAAGGTGTACCGAAAAGGGTTCTAAGCCAGGAGTCAGAAGTCCTACTTGACTTCCCTGAGCCTCAGTTTATCCTTAAAATACCTGTCATACATATAGGGTTGTTGAAGATAAGTTGGAATAATAAAAATGAATATTAAAATCACCAGTCAAACTATAAATTGCTGTAATACTGTCCCATTTTACTGTAATGGCACCTGGTGTGATTAGATCACGGGACCACACTCATCTGATATATAAGGTCTGGTGTGTTTGTAGTTGGTGGTTTCGTACGTCTCATTACTTTATAGTCATACCTTGTATATGCAGTTGGATAGAGAAGTTTAAAAGAGATCCACAATATACTTACTATTACTCTGTTTAAAAGTAAGCCGTGGAATGCCACATCTCGTTTAAATCTAATTCAGATCGGTCATCTCAGTGTGTCCTTCACTGACTTGCTGTCCATTTTAAAAAAGCATTTCTTTGACTTAAGTTCTCTCCCAGCCTTATGTTTTCTTTTTGCTTCTTGTCATTCTTTTCTGAGTCTTAGCTGTTCTACCATGCTCTGCTTCTCCCTAACTCTGTTCTTCCTTCTTTCCTTTTCCTACTATTCCCAATATAGTGGAGACTTAGTTTTGTTCTCGTTGCCTCTCCTATGAATGGTTTGCACTATTCGTGTTGTTAGACTTCCTCAAGGACGCTTAGCGGCTCTAGCCCTTATACTTGTGATGACTATCCCTTCTCGCTCTCTTTTTTAACCTTACTATTAAAAATATTGATTGCCCAGTGGATTTGTCAGTGTGCTAAGCTGAAACACGTCACCTTAATCAACAATCACTTTACTAACTGCCAGCTCACTTTTTGCTCCATTCTAATCTCGTTTTGTTGTTGATTATCCCTGTAGTAAACTTTTAAAGTCACAGTCCATTCTCTCTGAGTTTTCTGTCGGCTCTGACATAATTAGTAACTTCATCTTGAAACAATCTTATTTTCCTTGGTTGTTTCTCAAGCACGTTTTAGGAAAATGACAGAAAATGTGGCACCTGAAATAATCTCCGGTTCTCAGTTACTCCCCGTACAAGTACCTCTTTCTTGAAAAAGGCGGCTCTGTCAACCTTTCCTTCTCTTCTACTGTCGCTTTTCTTTCTTGAATATTCCTTAGACTTTTTGGTACCAACAGGTATTTCTTAGTTCCGCTGGGTATATGAAAGACCCTGAAGTCATGATTTTTAAAGATTTCTATTCTTATTTTTTTGTGTCCCCTGGGAAGATACCCAAAAACGGTTTTTAAGCTCTCATTTCTAATCATCCACTGTTAAGACTCACCTCCCACCTTTTTCCTGTGTAGACTGAAGGAATTATTGAATAATTCTATATTCATCTAACTTAAATAAAATGCATATACATGAAAATAATGGGACATGTACATTGTAGTCAGTGTTAGGTTTTTAAGAGCCAGGGATCCTATTTTCATATATTTCCTTTATAAACTACGGTATATGTTTTAGACATTCAGTGACTTAAAGTTTGGGAACACTAGACCATCCTATAATAAAGAAAGAAATAGGAACCGGAAGATGACCCCATACTTGTCATTTCTAGAGAGCTGTTAAACTCTATTCTATTTATGATCATAGTAAGAATAATTAAGAGGATAATGCAAACAACATGGCATTACTGGTGGTGAAGACTAAGGAATTAGATATTAAAACTTTTCAAATATAAAGAAAATCAGTTTGGTACCAAAGTGTGTGTGCAAATTTATGAACTGGTTAATATTCAACATATGTATAGGAGAGATGGGCATTTTTTTATTCACTACATTGTATGCAGCGGTGATTTAATCTCCTTTTGAGCCTCATTGTATATTGCTCCAAATTTATCATCTGTAGATAACTGCTATGTTATAAACATCAGAGAGTTTTTAAAATCTTTGGCTCTGGCTAACAACTAGCAAAACAGACTGTGTCCATTTAGTGAGAAATGTTTGTCCTAAAAGGAAAGTCGTAATTGTAACTATTTGTCATATAAAGGGAAATTATGAGAAATTTCTTTCAGGCGGAACCTGCGATTTCTATAGGTAATTACTGTGTAGTGATCCTTTGAAATTTTAGAGCTTTTCAGGTAACTTTGTTCCTTGGGATAATTCTTAAAAGAATGAACTATTTGTAAAATGCTTTAAGATTTTCCATATGCCCTTAAATAAATACCCAGTCCTGAATTTATAAGTGGAAAGTAAGTTCCTGAATTCTGTGTAGTAGTTATGCAGCTGTGCAAAGCAGACTAGTTGCCATGTCGTGTTCCTCTGTGCCAGATTTTCTTGCTTTTTTCCTTTTTAGCTGCTGTGTTAAAGTATGAAAACAATGTCATGAATATCAGGCAGTTTAACTGTTCTCCACACCCCTACTGGCTTCCAAACTTTATGGATGTTTTCACATGGTCTTTGCCTTTTGTTGGGGAAAAAGGTAAGAGACCATCAGTTGTCTTAACTAGTTACTGAGCACACTTTAGTATTTGCATGAGCCCCTGATGGTTCAGTGTTTCATTAAAGTTATCAGAAATGTTTTCTAATTTTTTTTGTTTTTTTTTTTTAATGAAGATTTTAAATGGCACATAATTGGTTTTTAAATTATAATTATAGTCAATTATATTTTTTTGTCCTAAAAATATCAACTTAAAGTAGCTGTCCTACTGTGATCAAGATGCTAAAATAACGTTGTCACTATTCCTTTCCTCCAGTGATTTCTTGAGCGATAAAGAGATTTAAACAGGAAATATTGTCTTTAGAATTTTATTTGTGCACCTATACAAATAAGCTATACAAATATAAAATAAGCCTGTTGGACATAGGCCCAGTGGTTTTACTTCTTTGTAAAATGGGAGGAAATCTTTTCATGTGCATATTAGTGAGAAGAAGCTCTGGAGCACTGAAGTCTAATGAAATCAAGTAATTATGCAAATAGAATCTTCAAAGACTCCAGTTTTTACTAAAACAAGTAATCTCCCCAAATTCTATGTAAACCTGAAGGTCTACATTTAATGCCACCCTATAACTACTCTAAGTAGCATAATGACAAGTCATTTTTATCGGTTTATTTAACAAGTATGTTTATTTAGATATCCACATCATTTTGGAGAAAGTACCTTATTAACTGTATAAATTTGGGGCTATTTTGTTTTATTATATAGTCACAGAGATGCTGGTTAACATTCTCAACATATGCTCTGATGACGAATTGATTTCCGAAGACGAAATTGAAGGTAAACTTGCCTTTTCCTCACTTGAAATAGAAATGAGGAAGTTTTGGTTTTGGTTTGACTTTGTTTTGAATAATTTTTTTTCGTATTAAAAAAGAATTGTGTTCAATGGAAAAAAAGTGAAAAATACAGGAAACCATAAATAAGAAAAAAAAAGTCACCCATCATCCTGTCATCTCATAGATATCCACTGATAACATCTGGGTGTTACGTACTGTGTTAGCTATCTTAATCTTTGCATATATTTTTGTCTGCGTTTTTCTTTTTAACAAAAATGAGGTCATATGATAGATAGTATCAGGACATTTACTTTTTTTTGTTGACTAATTTTTAATGGTTAAATAGTTGTCCATTTTGATTATTCTTTGTTTTAAGCAATCCCTGGCTATTGGATGTTGGATTTTTTTCCAACTTCTTTTTTAAACCCAGAGTTTTAAACATTCTTACAGAAAAATCTTTGCACATTCTGTCAACAACCAATATTTATTACATGCCTGATATGCGCTAAGTGCTGTTTATGTTTAGATTCTTGCTCTCAATAAGCTTATATTCTAGTGGAGGGAAGACAAATAATAATGTAAATCAGATGTCAATATATAGTATAAAAGAAAGGAAAGCAATAGAAGACAAACAATAATGTAAATCAGATGTTGATATATAGTATAAAAGAAAGGAAAACAGTATTAGGAAATGAAGAATGACATTTTCTTGATTATTTCCACAGGATAAATTTCTAGAAAGTAAATATCTGTGTCAACTGGTACTTAGAATTTTAAATCGGGTTCAGATAACCTTTAGAAAGGCCGTACCAGTGTACATTTTGCATATGTAATACATAGTTTAGAGTGTTCTCTTCAATACTGTTTATTATAATTTTAATAGTGTGGTGTTTTTTAATTTTAATTAGTATTTTTATGATGACTAATGTGCATTTTTGCTTGTGTTTATTGACTGAATTTGTTTCTCTTTTGTGACTTGTCAATTCATACCTTTTGCCCATTTTTCTGTTGGGTTATGTGTGTGTTCGTTTGTTTGTTTTTCCTCTTACTGGCCTGTGAGGGATCTTAATATAGTAACGTTTTGTTGCATATAGAGCCAAGCATTTTTTTCCTAGTGTGTTGTGGAAGGTTTGGTTTTAAAGGTAGGTCTTAACTTATTTGAGAATTCAGAAGATTCTGAGAAGATAATGGCCCCTGAGCACAAACCTCTGACTGTTTCATTCTCTCCAAGCTCTGGGCTAAGGTGATTCACTCAACTGTTAGGATAAACTGTCTGCATACTGGAGAAAGCCTAGCTTACTTTGAGAATATAGAGGATGGTCATCCACATGCTTAAGCTTCAGATTCCACATTGAAGGTGCAGAGTAGATGGCTTGTGGGTACCTTTATGTGTGGGATGGAAGCTCACTGCAAGGAAACAGTTCTTCTTGAGCAATATGTGCAGGTAAAAATTAAAATAAAGAATTTAAATTATGAGGAGATGAAATATATAAGAAATAGATCTAATAAAATTTATATTCATATCTAAGTCAAAATGGAAATTATTGTGAACTCCATTGTATGTATTAAGAAAGGATTCTTTTTATAAGAAAGTGTTCTTGATTATCATAAGGAAATGCTTACAGAATTAAGCCAAAAATTGTGTAATGGGACTATCTTTTGAAGTGTCATCTGTAGCAGCAAAAGGTCCAAAACAATCTAAGTGTCCCTTAGTGGAGAGCTGGGTAAATCAATTATGGTATATCCGTATGATAGATACTCTACATAGAATGTTATTTCCTTTATGCAAGACCCCTTTCTCCCTTTCTCTCCTAGTTATTAGCTCCTGTTCAGCTTATCATAACCTCCTCATGGAAAACATTTCTGACCTCGCTGATCAGATCTAGTACCTCTGTTATGCTCTCTCCTATCAATGGTGCTGCTTCTCCTTAGCCTTTGATACAGTTGCAGTTTTACATTTGTTTATATTATTGTAAGATTAGTATATTTTACTCCCACTCAACTATAAACTCCCTGAATGCTGGGACAAAATGGTTTTTGCTCACCAGTATAGCCATAAAACCAACAAGTATAGTGCAATGAGCATACATAGTAGATAAATATTTGTTGAATTAAATTGAATGATATAAAGTGCAACTACTAAAAAAGAAAAAAAGAATGAAGCAGAGGTATTAGTGCTGATATGGAAAATCTATTAGATATTCTGTTAGATACAAAAGTAAATGGATAGAATCTTCTCATTCTCATTTTTTATAAAATGTGGATGTAAGCTGATATATGCTAAAATTTTGTTTTTGAAAGCAAACGAAGATTAACCTTGTAGGTTAAGGTTGTAAATTGAACATACCTCTAATTCCATTTCTTCCTGAAACCACACTAACACCACAATGCAATTTTGGTTTTATTTAAAGGGCATAAACTAAGGATTCCTATTTTAGTAATGCCAGACTAGATAGTTTAAATCAACCCCGACTCTTTAGACAACGAGAAAAATCTAGACAAACTATTTTTAAAACTTGCTTTAAAGGCATTCAGAAAGCTACTGAGAAATAAAAAATTACCAAGTTAAGATATGGAAAAATGCATCAATCTAGAACAGTAAGACCAATGTTTGGGACCATTTCTTTCCTAAAGACATTTATGAATTTCGAAAGAGGGGACTAAGAGGTTGAGCAGCCCTTTTGATAGAAGCTCAATAATTGGGATTCAAGGTTGCCAAGGATGACACGAGTGCCATTCAGCTTCTGCTTATTGCTTTGGGACACCCAAAGGTTGCATCTAGGTAAGAGTAAGGGCGAACTGGAGCTAGAACCTTCAAATCATTTCAGTCCCTGAAATTTAAATAAGGTAGTTCCAGGCATCTGGCAAAATGAAACCTTTCTAGACTAAGATAACATCATGTAAGACCTTTCATTACTACAGTCTTTCAAGTGTAACATGTGGCTCATGGCCAAAAAAATAACTGGTTATACAAGGGATATAATGACATGAATGCGAACCAGCGGAAACTGGAAAAAAAAAAAAAAGTAGACCCCCACGTTCTCCAGACATTGGCTTTATCAGACCAAACTTTAAAATAATTGTGCTGAAAAACAAAACAATGCTCACTGTGTTCAAGAATACAAAAGACTAGATTGAAAATTTTGGCAGATAACTGCATTGTAAAAGGGGATGTAACAGAGTTGATAAAACACCAAAAGAAAATTCTAGGAACAAAAAACAAAATAACAAATTAAAAAAACTTGACAGATGAATTAACAGCAGATTTAATAAAGCTAAACAGAGGACAAATCAACCAGAAGATAAAAGAAAAAAACCCAGAATAAGTCATGAAAAGAAAAAGTAAAATACCAAAAACGGGATACAGCGAATAGGCTTATTGCTGTGTTTTTGAGTCCCAGAGAAGAGAGAGAGAAGGAGGTAGAACCAATATTCAAAGAGATAATGAATAAAATTTTTTAAAAACTAGAAAGACATTAAGCCGCAGATGAAGAAGCCCTGTAAATCAAAGCAGAATGAATACAAAGAAAAAAACACCTAGGCAAGCACGTCATAATAAAAGTACTTCAAATGAAAGACAAAAATTTCTGTAAGCTGCCAGAAAAAAGAGGTTACTTTCAAAAGAGAACAATTAAACTGACATAGATTCTTAATGGAAACAATGGAAGCAGGAAACAATATAATAACATATTCAGAACACTGAAAGGTAACAACTGTCATCTTAGAATACTATATCTAGCAGAACTACCCTTTAAGAATTATGAAGAAATAAGCATTTTTCAGATATCCTTCTCTTAAAACATTATGAGTAAAAATAGAAAATATGTGAGTATATCAAATGAATGTAGACTTTATTAAACAATAATGTTTTATTGGATTTAAAAGACAGAATAAAAATATATGACAATAATAGTTGTCAGTGGGATAAATATGGTTAAATTGTGTGAGGGATGTCTATTATCTGGGAAGAGGGAAAAAATGACTGTTAACATACTTTGATAAATAATAGATGCGTGTTGTAATCTCCAGAGTAACCTGTAAGAAAAGAGATTTGTTTGTTTTTTAGTATATGACTTTTGAGTTATAGAAAAGTGGAACAATAAAAAATAACCCGGAAGAAGCCAAGAAGAGAGAAGCTACAGATAGCAGTAGGACAAATAGGATAAATTATGACAATAACTATATCAGCAATTTCATTAAATATAAATAGATAAAAGGTTGTCAGGTAGGATTTAAAAGAAAACTTTATGGTGTTTTATAAGGGACAGATCTAAAGCATGAAGATACAGAAAGTTTAAAAGCAAGAGGAAAAGGAATAAATATATAATGCAAACACTAAACAAAGAAAAGCTGTTGTAGATAGATTAGTATTCCATGAAGTAGACTTAAAACAAAAATAGGGTGTAACAATTTTATGCAATTAATTGTATGCTGGGGGGAGGGGAGAAGGAGACAGGGTAAAAGGGGTCAAATATGTGGTGACAGGAAGGAATCTAACTGTGGGAGGTGCGCACACAGTGTAAATATATATATGCCTTACTGTTAAAATGTACAGTTGGAACTTACTGGATTTTGTTAACCAATGACACCATAAAAATAAATAAAAAACAAATAAATAAATTGTATGCAGTTAGTAACATGGATTTATAATATATAAAACAAAAATTAAAGGAAGTACAATTAGAAATAGAAATATCCACAATGATAGTGGGAGAATTTAACAAATATCTCTCAGTAATGGATGGAATAGCAGACAAACCAAATTTGGAAAGTCGTAGAAATTAGAACAACACAATTAATGAACTTGACCTAACAGACATATAGAGAACACTGCATCCAACAATGCTGAATACACCTTCTTTTCAAACCACATGAACATTTACTAAAACTGACCATGTCCTTGGCCAAAAGCAGGTTTCAGCTGTCAAAGATTAAAATCATAATGACTATGCAGTTAAGAAATATATCAATAACAAAAATATAACTGGAATATCCCCATATTTTAGGAGATTTTAAAATATACTTAATGACCTGTGGGTCAAATAACAAATCACAATGAAAATTTGAAAATATTTTAAACTGAATGAAAATAAAAAGTAGTATATATTAAAATTTGAGGGCAGACAGTGAGTGCACCAGGCAGCCCTGGGCTCAGTACTGGAGCCCAAACCTTGTAGCCATGTTAGCAGATGCTCGCTGATTGACAGCAGAGAAGAAGAGCCATGTTATACTTGATCTTAAAGCAGCAGGATAGTTGGAATTAAATTAGAGAGATGCCATCTATAAAGAGTTCTTCAGAAATTTTAATCTGGCATTTGGCTCTATGTCTTTTGTTGCCCTACAAGCAGAGCAGATGAACATCACCAGAATAGTTCAGCGTGTACAGCAAGGTCCAGGTAATTCTCACCTTTAATGACTGTGGTAGACTGACCAAAAGAAATGTGACACTGGCCAAGTTTATTGAAAAAGCAGCTGCTTCTGTGTGATTTCTTTCAAATGCATGTAAAATCTTATACATATCTTAGCTGCAATGTATTTTGAAGGCAATTTACTTAAACAAATTAAGTTATAAATTTAGTTTACATTTTGTACATTTGACATTTTGTAAAATCAGAGCTTAAACACAAAATAATTTAAACTTGGAAAGAAAAAGTGAGGGATGCATCTAAAGCCATGTTTAAAGGAAAATGTATAGCCAAAAATGCATATATTAGAAAAGAAGAAAGATGAAATATCAACATCCATCTCAAGAAGTTAATTATTAAGTTATAAATTTAGTTTACATTTTGTACATTTGACATTTTGTAAAATCAGAGCTTAAACACAAAATAATTTAAACTTGGAAAGAAAAAGTGAGGGATGCATCTAAAGCCATGTTTAAAGGAAAATGTATAGCCAAAAATGCATATATTAGAAAAGAAGAAAGATGAAATATCAACATCCATCTCAAGAAGTTAACAAAAGAATGGATAGCACATTAAACCTAAAGAAAGTAAATGAAATAAAAATGTAAGAGTAGTATTAACAGTATAGAAGACAAAATACAATACAGAGGAGTAGTAAAACTAAAATGTGCTCTTTTCAAGAAACTAATAAAATTGATAAATCCTTGATAAGACTTATCAAATGAAAAAGATGAGACAAAAGTTACCGGTGCTAGTACTGATCCTATAGACATTAAGAAAATAACTAGAATACATTAACACTAGTAAATTTTAAAACTTAGACAAAATGGATAGACTCCTAGAAAAATATAACTTACCCAAATTGACACAATATAGGAAATCTTAATAATCACAAATCCACCAAGAACTAGGATCTGTAATTTAAATTTTTCCTATGAAGAAAATGTCGGGTGCAGATAAATTCACCAACAGATTTACCAAACATTTAAGAAAGAACCCACACAAAAATTGTACAAATTCATCCCAACAATAAAAAAGATGTGTATTTAATGAGGCCAGTATAACTATTATACTAAAATGTGACAAGGACATTAATATAGATAGAATAATCCTAAACAAAATATGAGCAAATTGAGACTAACAATATATATATATAATTGCCTTCCAATTAAGTTGATTTATTCCAGAAATCTTAGAAGGTAATTAAATCGGTATATACTCATGGAAGATGCTAATTGTGGAAATTGTTTGAGGTGTGTATGGGAGCTCTATACTTGCTTCACATCTTTTCTGTACATCTAAAACTATTCTTAAATTAAAAAATTTTTAAACATTTAGAATAATTCACCGCAGTAATAAAAGAAAAAGGGAAAAAAATTATCTTATAGGTGTAGAAATAGTATTAGATAAGATTTATCTTTCATTTACACTAGATCTCTTAAACTGGGTTTAGAGAGGAATTCTTTGACAAATGTACCAACAAAAGCCTATAGCAAATATGTGAAATGTTGAAGGCTTTCCTTAGTGATTGAGAGCAGATAAGGATGCTGGCTGTTAATATCTTTATACAATATTATATAAGGCAAGAAAAAGAAATTCAAGATATAAAGATTGGAAAGGAAGAAACAAAACTATTATTTATAGATGATATGATTGTATACAAAGAAAATTTTAAAGTATCTATAAATAATTATTAGAATCCATAAATGCAGGTAGTAAAGCTACTGGATACAAAGTCAATAAACAAAAATTATTTGCATTTCTATTTACCAGCAACAAACAAAATCTCATAATGTTAAGCAAAAGAAGCTAGACACAAAAATACATATTTGATTGTTCCAATTACATAAAGTTCAAAAATGATGAAAACTGTAGTGCTTGTGGATGCATGCTTCCATGGCGAAACTAAAGAACAGCAAGAAGGTGATTTCAGTAAAAGTCGAGAGAATGATTTTCTTTGGGAGGAGAGAGACTATAATTATTCGGAGGGGCCCAAGGGGGGCATCTGGGATGCTGGCAAGGATCTATTTATTGACCCAAGTGGTGATTATACGGCCACTTGGTTTTTAATAAATCACTAAATTACATGTTTGTTTTGTATACTTTTCTGTATGTTCAAACAAAACTGAAGTTCACCTTAGTAATAGGAATGCCAAGTTCCAGCACAGAATCCTCAAAAAGCCAAGGGATTGGTGCCAGTTGCTAGAATCGGGGACCAAAGGAGGGGGCGGGGAAGAGGGTGGACTCTGAGCTAAAATAAGGAGACTGGGTGGAAGCCTTTGGAAAGGCAGTTAAACTGGTTCACTGGTGGCAACTGCCTCTTCTCCAAGTCTGGAGGCCAGTCTCTAAAAAATGTAAACCAAAGAATTTCTGGATGGGGATGCAATCGAGGACATCAACACCTTGCTGAAAACAGGTGAATTAAGTGACTGTACACCTACTCAATTCTGATAGAAAAAATTCCTTCATATAGGCCCACCCTGGTCACTCCATGTAAAGCTCCAAGCCATCAATCTACCCACCAACTCTGAAAGCGTTTTAGTCCCTCACTGTTAATCACAAGCAAATGTTAGGGATTACCAGACAGCTCGGAAAGCCTACAAGAGAGACCACAACAAAAACTGCAAAAAGCAACTTGAATTAACTTGAGAGCCTGAAGAAAACATAAAACTCAAAAAGAAAAAACTATAATATCTCCAGAAAGATAGGGGAAGATATTGAATCCATCAAGTAAAAACAGAATGCTCTTATTAGGAGATTTGTACGCAGTTTGTTCTGTCCTTTGTTTTCATTCCTTGTTTTCAGTGTCTTTGTTCCACAAATAATATCTTTCTCTTTGTCCAGTTTTATTTTCATCATCTGTGGAGCTAGAACATGTTGGGTAATAATAGATGTGAATTAATGTAAAACTGTAAACTTTTAAGAAGTGGAAAAACTACTGACAAGAAATCTGTAATTTAACATTCTGTCATGAAACCAAGGATGTCTCTTCTGAGCTGATAAAAATAATAGCCTGATTCTCTCATTGCATTTCACTTTGATTTTTTTCTCTCTTCCATGTAAACTTAAATTGCTCTTCTCATATTTTCTATCTTCATCTCCTTGTTTCTTGGTGTCTCTTCTCCCTGAAGATCACTACATTTCAAGCTATCAGAAAGGTATCTGACTAAAATGTACTTACGAGCTTCATACTCGCTGTCTGTCCCACCACAATCTATTAGTTAGACGTTTTTAGTTTTAGTTGAATAATTTCAGACAGGCCCTCCATCCTCCCTTTCTGTTTCAATGTATATGTTTTCTCTAGACCTGCTGTATGATCCTGCAGGATATTGAGAGTTAGGGGGGGCGAGGAAGGAGAGGCTGTGTTTCTTTTTCTGACTTTTGAATGCGGTCACCTGGTGCATGCTGGATCTTGGCTTCTCATGTATGAGCTGTTTCCTGAATCTTAGATGAGAAAAGGTCATAAAGTCTTGAGTTCACTTTTGTGATGTCACTTTATAAAATACCTTCCCCATCAGCATAATTTCTATTACGCAGTTGTCTGTGGTAGTTAACCACTCACCAGTTTGTGAGTGAGGATTATAGAATGAAAGCAGCCCTCACTAAATTCAAGAGAGCTAGCTGTGTATTGTGTTTCCATGCAGAGGACAGCTGCTTGAATCATCACTTGCCATTTGCAGGCCAAACCCTGCATCCTAAGGTGGCCCACGGCATTCTCAAAAAATTTTTGCTGTAGCAACTGTCTTTGTTTTGATGTGTGTATTACACTCTTCGCTGTGTTCCACATTTCAGAACCACAAATAAGTTCCTACTTCTCATAGATCTGTCCAGTCTGTCTTTTTTGTGGCCCCCTCCATTTTTTCCCTTCTTTTTCTCTTCGGGTTGTTTTTTCTCTTGCTCCGTAGAACTTCCTGGGATTTTTGTTTGTTTAAACAAACTTAGGCCTTGATTTCTTTTTAAAAAATAACTGTTTCTTTAACTTAGAAAGACACTTCATCCTGCACTTCTAAAAACTAACGTGTTAACACATTTCTTTAATTCACTTATTCTTTATGTTCTCAAAGGCGGCACTACGGTTCGAAAGGAGATCATCAAGAATAAAATCAGAGCCATTGGGAAGATGGCACGGGTCTTTTCAATTCTTCGGTAAGGATAAGTCTGTCATTACAGTGTGGGATAAAAGCATTTTGAGAGTAAATGAGAAGTTGATTTCAGAACAGATTTTTTTAGAATTGGAATTTGCTTTTGGAACTATAGGTCTCTGGGTTGAGTGCAGATTAAATCAGGCCTACATGTTAAAATGACTGGGAATGGCGAACATTCATTTGGTACGGGCTCAAATGTAGTGACCGCAGTGGTGTAATGTGGATTCTGGAGCCAGATTACCTGTGTTCACGTCCTGGCTCTACCTTTTCTTAGCTGTGTGATCTCGTGCCTCATTTTCCTTGTCTGTAAAGGAGTGATAAGAACAGGACCCGCTTTACACGGTTAATAGGAGGATTAAATGGGATAACATGTGGGAGACATCAGAACAGTATCTGGTTATTAAGAGCCATTAATTGAAAAGCAAGGCCTGGCAAATTGTTTAAAATTGGACCGTTTAGAGAAAACATCCCTTTGTCTGGGTCAGGAAAGGGTTAGGGGGAAGGAGAACCAGTCATCCATCTCTACGCATCTTTTCTTAACTTCCTTCAAGTGCCTTTGAATTACCGAGTGGTGGACACCCTGGCATTAACCCAGGGCTTTGATCTTCCTTTGCAGGGAAGAAAGTGAGAGTGTGCTGACTCTCAAAGGCCTGACCCCTACAGGTACCCTCCCTCTGGGTGTCCTCTCAGGAGGAAAGCAGACTATTGAGACAGGTGAGTATGAGCAGTGCACCTTTCATGGAGGATGTGTGCTCCCATTACCTAGCAGTCAAGGTAAAATTAAAAATTGGAGATTCTTAATAAAAAAGAAAGAAATCTTGCCATTTGCAACAACATGGATGGACCTGGAGGGTATTATGCTAAGTGAAGTAAGTCAGACAGAGAAAGACAAATATGATTTCACTTTTAGGTGGAATATTAAAAAAGAAGAAGAAGAAGAAGAAGAAACAAAACAGACTCATAGATACAGAGAACAAACTGATGGTTGCCAGAGGGGAGGGCTTGGGGGGATGGTCAAAAAAGGTGAAGGGAAATAAGAGGTACAAACTTTCATTTATAAAATATATGTCATGGAGATATAATATACAGAACAGGGACCATAATCAATAATATAACAACTTTGTACAGTGATACATGGTTGCGATCACATCTTGAGGTACAGAAATGAAGAATCACTATGTTCAGTACACCGGAGACTAATATAATATTGTATATCAACTATACTTTGATTTTAAAAAAATAAAATAATTTTTTTTTTAAAATTAGGGCTTCTTTCAATAAATGATACTAGATCAATTGGATATCCGACTGGGGGGGAAATGGATCTCGACCCTTCTTTCTATATACAAAAATTAGTTCAAATGAATTATAACTTAAATGGAAAAGGTAAAACAGTAAAACTTCCAGACAAAAGTATGGAGAGTAGGCATTAGGGTAGATAAAGAACCCTTAGAAAAAACACCGAAAGGACTAACCTTAAAAGAAAAACTTAATTGAATTATATTAAAATTAAGAATTTCTATTCACAAAAATACATGATTAAGAAAGAAAAAAGGCAAGCCATAAACTGGGGGAAGATATTTGTAAGACATATATCTGACAAAGAACTTGTATTCAGAATACATAAAGAACTACATAAAACTCAATAAGAAAAGTGCAAACGACCAATTTTTTTAAAATGGTCAAAAGGTTTTAACAGGCACTTCCAAAAAGGGGGTATCAAAATGGCAGATAAGCATATGAAAAGATGCTTAATGTGGTTACCAATGTACTGTATACTGTTACCAATGTACTGCATAATTTAAATAAATAAATTTATTGAAAAAAACCCACAGTGATATACCACTACATATTCACTAATGGCTAAAATGAAAAAGTCTGATAATGCCAAGTGTTGGTGAGTTTGTGGAGAACTAAAACTAGATACATTGCTGGTGGGCTTGCAAATTGGTTCAGTCACTTAGAAAAACTGTTTACTGGGCAGAAAATGAACACACGTCTACTCCATAACCCAGCAATTCCACACCTGATATATATCAAAGAGAAATTAGTGCATATGTCCACAAAGGATGTACTTAAGAATGTTCACCTTAGCTTTATTCATCACAGCCCCAAACGGAGAACAACCAAGTGTCTATCAATAGCAGAAGAGATAAATAAATTATGTTATATGTATACAATGGAATACTACTCAGCAATAAAAAGTAACATTATGAATACCTGCAAAAACATAGTTGAATCTTACAGACATTATGGTAAACTAAAAAAGCTAGACACAAAAGAGCACAGACTGTCTTTATACGATGTTCAAAAACAGGCAGACTAATCAATAGTAATAGAAATCAGAATGACACTTCTTTAGTGGGAGAATATTGGCCCAGAACATGCACAGGGGACTTCTGGAGTAGTGGGAATGGAATGTTCTGTATCATTATCTGAATGGTAGTTACACAAGCACATACATAAATAAAAATGTACTGAGCTGTACACTTCGGTTTGGGGTACATGATAATACCTTGCTCGTGTATGTTTTATACCTTAATTTTTTTTTTTTACTTAGTTATAGTTTCTTGTTCAGAGAGAGAGTTAGTCTCTTTGCCTACAAGCTATATCCTACTCCAGTGCCACAGTTATCTCTTCAACCAAAATGTCCAGTCTAAAAATTATATGAGCACTGACTTCTAAGGAGAGGGCTTTATGAAACTCTGGAATGAAAAGATTGATGTTTATCAGAATAAACAGATCTGGTCAAGCAAGAGGAAGCGACACGAGATCACATCATTGGATGATTAATTCTAGGCATGAAAACTGGAGTTGAAGCATTAACAAATTAGAGTTTCATTGCTTTTTTGCCCCCTTGTTTTGTCGAATTGTTTCTACTTAAGTTTTTTTTTCCTTGTCATTCTGCCACTTAGAGGAAGTAGAAATTCCACTGCTAATAATTAATAGCAACAAGCTCCTTTCCTTCTTTTAATGGGATTGAATTCTTCCTCATTCAAATTGGATACCGGAATATTAGAGTTTAGCTATTTAGAAGGAAGAATGAACATTTTCTCCTTGAAAATATGTAATTAATTTTCTTCACTTCTCTAGTTTCATAGAAAGGATCAGTAAATTATTTCAGATTGATTTTTTTTCTCTCAAATAAAATGCGTGGTTTCTGACAAGGAAAATACTTTCCACTATTACTTTGCTTGGTAATTAGTCATGTGACATATTCTGAGAGCAGCTCTGAGAAGGCAACTTATAGTTAATAGGAAGTAACATGGGCAAAGAAAAAAGGGAATGTCCTATGACATCCTTGAAACATTTTTAAAATTTGCTGATCTATAAAGTTGTTTGAATCTGAACCAATTTTCTCTAGACTTTGAAAGAGCAAATATGCCAATCTAGGATGAATAAAAAGTAAAGAATTTTATAGATGTGTTATTTGTAGATTTATTTGTTTGTTTATAATCCTTGGTCTGCCTTTTTTTTCAGTCCCTAATACCTAATATATCCAGTTTCTCTTAGTTTCTTATGTGACTATGAGTGTTTTAATTAATATAGGATTGCTTATTGAGACTTCGGAAATTGATAGAAATCCTCAGGAATGTGTCAGAGGAACAAAACTAAAGTTGGAGCCGACTTTTTAGAGCTTCTTATTCTCTCTTGTTCACAGGAACTGGGTTTATTTTGTCATTTTCTCATTATGTCTCAGTTGTACCGGTTCATTGGGAAACTGCAGCATTAGCTGAATAAGACCTTTTACTGTTCATATCACTTTACTTGGAGAGTAAATTGGACCTTATCAAAATTAACTTTTGTACTGCAATTGAAAATGAAGAAAGTGAAAAGACAACTCACAGAATGGTCGGAGATATTTACAAATCATATATATGATAAGGGGCTAGTGTCTGGAAAAGATAAAGAACTCTCAAAACTGAATAATAAAAGGACAAATCATTTAAAAATGGGTGAAAATTTTTAATAGATGTATTTCCAAAGGAGACATACAGATGGTCGATAAGTACATGAAAAGATGTTCAACATCATTAGACATTAAGGAAATACAAATCAGAACCACAACGAGATACCCCTTTATGCCCACTAGGATAGTTGTGATTAAAAAAAAAAAAATAGGAGAGTTGATTAAAAAAAAAAAAAAAAAAGACAAGTTATAACAAATGTTGGTGAGAATGTGGAGAACTTGGTGGGATGACTATGGTGTCATGCTTGGGAAACCAAGCGAGAGGTTCCTTAGGTGATAAAACATGGAGTTACCATGTGACAGAACTTGGTGGGATGTACAATGGTGTCATGTTTGGGAAACCAAGCGAGAGATTCCTTAGGTGATAAAACATGGAGTTACCATGTGACCCAGCAGCTCCACTCCTGGTTGTGTATCCCAAGGAAATTAAAACATATCCAAACAAAAAATTGTGCACGAATGTTCATAGCAGCATTCTTCTTACTAGGCAGTAAGTGGAAGCAACCCAAATGTCTATCAGCTAGTTAGCCAGATAAATAAAATGTGGTATATTCATACAGTGGAGTACTATTCAGTCATAAAAAGGATTGAAGTATGGGTGTGTGTTTCGACATGAATAAACCTTGAAAACATTATGCTAAGTGACAGAAACCAGTCACTAAAATCATATTTTATATGATTAAATTTATGATTCCAGAACAGGCAAATCTAGGGTTAAGGGACAGGCATGAGGGAGGGAAATGAGTTTCTTTCTGGGGTGATGAAAACATTCCAACCATAGATCGTAGTGATGATTGCCCAACTCTGTGTTAAAGTCATTTAACCGTACCCTTTAAACAGTGATTTTTTCAGTATATGAATTATATTTCAGTAAAGAAAAATAGATTTCAGTACAGAAGAAAGTCAGTTTCTCAATTTTATGTGACTGTTTCTTATAATGTCCTTCATTACCGGCTGATATCTTAATACCCAATGCAAAAAAGCAATTCTAGGAGGGCCCAAAATAATATGATACTAGTACACATTGATTACATAGCTTTCGCATAGCTTTTAAACTCTAATTAGACCGACATTCTGTATATAATTTTAGGCAGTGCTTTGTTCTCCCATTTTCTAACAGTTGCATCCGTGATACAGTTTGAAGGCACTATCATCTTCTCGTGAAAGTTTATTTGTTCTGTTTGAAGAGATTAGAGGGGCTGCGACATTGCTTTAACACATGCCTACATATGGTTGACAAATGTAAACACTTGATAAGTTGATTCCAAGTTTCCATTTTTCACACTGTGTTAGGAAGTTAACTTTCCATTCTCTCAGTTTCTCCTCTCGATATATAAAGCCTCAGAACAGCAAACTGTTACTGTTCATTATTCTCTCCAGTTGGTATTGGAGGAACTGATGGGGTTCTCCAAATAGGATCTTTCTGGCTAAAACCTGTAACTTTTTCATATATTAGGGCTTTTACTATCTTAAAAGCAGATGCAAGGATGTTTACCTGTTGGTATTAATTTTTAAATTGCTTCCTTTTCCATCAGTGAGGGAGAAGAAGGCATTCTTAATAATTGGCCTCCTCTCTCATGCAGTGAATGGAAGCCATATTGGTTGGAAATGTCAGCCTCTGCTATATCTAATCTCAGATGGTACATGAATTTGTATCCAGAATTGAACAGTTTTATGCCTTTGCCACCTTAGTACTCTACTCCTGGACAAGAAATAACCCCACACTTATAACCCATTTTTCTCTCCTTCCAAATGCCAATCTGTTATTCAAAGGCCATTCTTTTTTATAGGTAATTAAAAAGGGCAATTGGACCCCACATAAGCTGCTTGAGAGCAATAAGAAGTACTTTTAAATAAGTTTTTTTTGAATAGGACCCAGCAGCAGCTCATTTAATACCATCTGAGCTATTACAAATTGTAGAACACTTGTAATGTTAAATAATTTGACTCTACCAGTTATTTTGATACGTGAGTGTTAAGACGTAAATTAGCAGCTGGCTATTTAAAATCAGGAGAGCAGCATAACTCCTGGTGTCTTATAGTCAGTTTGACTGACCCAGTTGGCTTAGCTATAGATGCCATTAGCTAAAAGGTTCTCATGCTACCTGAAATGTTAAAAATATTAGAAACTCTCCCCACCTCATACCCAGCTCCCACCCCCCAATTAATTTTTCCGCAGTAATCCTCTCGCTTCTCTTAGCTAGTCGACTTTATTATGGGTGGGAATAAGCTCAAGGTGGGACCCTGGGATGCCTGTGCTGGCAGCATTGTGTTGGTTTACTCACTCTTTTTCTGTCTTCATTTTTGCATGCCACTGCTCCTGCCTCTTACAGCCACAGTAGAAGCCGTAGAGGCCCGGGAAGGTATGGCCATATTCCTGTGATAGATGTTATCATGTGTCTGTCTACTAGTTTAAAACAAAAAACAAAAAACAAAAAAACTGTCAGCATTTGAAATCTTTTATTATTGCATCACCAGAACTGTAACAGTGAGAAAGGAATAGATATTTCTAGGCTTGCTCACAAAGTATCTTGTGGTTGTAGTAATTTAAATGACCCTCTCCACAGCTAAAGTCCTTTCTGGGCTCTGTTTTAATGCAGTGGCTGAAGCTTAAGCAACTGGTCACAAGAGATCAAGTGGTTTGTTAGTCCTATAGCCCCTTCCATAGATAAGAGACATCCATCGGATCACTAGAGATTCAAACAGGTCAGCCTCTTTATCTAATGCCTCTAAAGGATATCAAAAGCAGAGGCGAAAGTAGACAGGAATTTAGTTTGATTCATTTCTGAAGTTGCCCTAAGGCAGTCAAACTAAATTATCTTTGTTTCGATAAAAGCAAATTTAAGTAACAAATTATCTGTGAATCTGTGGATGAAAACCATTGGAATTGATACTGTTATAAATTTAATTGTTTTCATTAGGTAAGGTAGTTCAAAATGGAAGTGCCTTTCCTTGACAGTACAAAAGTTCAATCAGAAAGAAAATATTAAAAGCCATTTTAGATGGCTTTTAACTTACGTTCAGCTCCTGGTTGTGCAAGATAAAAAGCTGTCCTAAACAAAAAGATTAACTCATTTGTTACCTTTTTTTGTGGTCACTGTGATATTTGTGCTAAAATAACTATTCTGTTTAACTTGTTCTATTATTCTAGTGTTTCCTTTTTTTTCTCTCGCATTGAGCACGTTTCTGGCCCGTAAGAAACTCTTTGCCAAATGTCCTGGGGCTAAGTAAGAACTTGTTTGCTACTCGTCAGGTATATTTCTGCTATGATTAATTGTATTGAGCATCTATGAAAATTACTTGCACAGTTTCAGCTGCCCTTGGGGCCTTAAGGAATTAGTAGCTTCAAGACAGGGCTAATTCAAATCAGATATTGCCTGTTGCCCTCACCAGACATGTGCTCCTTAGCCACCTTCTGTGTTTTTCCCTAGGAGGCTGCTGTGTGCTAAGAAGCTTTAAGCTTGTCCGCCTTGCTGTCTAACTGAGCTCCTCCCTTTCCTGTTTTTCTGTAGCTATCAGAGGGTTTTCGCTTCAGCACAGGATCCGGAGTTTTGAAGAAGCCCGAGGTCTGGACCGAATTAATGAGCGGATGCCACCCCGAAAAGACAGCCAGTACTCCGACGGGCCAGTGAAATTGGTAACCCCTGTACAATCAAACGCTGCGCTCAGAAGTGACAAGGGAAGAAAAACCAGCAGTGACTCAGAGCCCAGCTGTGGCACAGGTGGACCCAAAACTTAAGAACAAATTTTATTTATTTATTATTGGAAAACAAAACAAAAACGACTTAAGCAACTTAAACCTGGAGGTGCATTCATAATACACTCTGCATTTATTCTGTAAGAAACGTGACCATTTTATAAATTCTTTTAATTTATATTTAATATATATAAGAAGTGCATCTGTTTTGTTTTTCCCTTTTTTCCCCCCCTAATTTTTAGGAACTGATCTGATTGTCTGACACGTATGTGAAATCTTGTGCTGTAAAGGGGACTGTCCCCTAATAAAAGAGCCTTGGAAACCTCTGCCCGGGGCTTCTAACTTGAACTAGCCAGCCTTTTCTCTTGTTTTTAAAAACTAATATCTTTCATTTCAGACTAATAACTTTTCAGACGCAAGGTTCTTTCATTTTTGTTTTTGGTTTTGTTTTTTTTTTTCCCCTACAGGGTACTGTTAAAGAAGATCTCTTAGATTTCAGTGGCTAAAACTTCTTATGGAAAACTTGATTATAGTAGAACTTCTAAGTGAATAACCCAAACCCGGAGATTTTTAGGGGAATGTTTTATCTTAGAATTACTTAAAATTTATTCATCTAACTATGGGCATGATGAGTTTAAACTTCCCTTAGAGATTTGGAGGTTTCTTAACTGTTGCCAGATCCTTTTTTTATTTTTGAACCTCAGATTATTTACCCTTTCTGCAAAGGAAGCTGCGTTTTTGTTTTATAAACGCCGTCTCTGGAACCTTTGACAGTGAGAAGTATTTATGCCCTTCTGTGTGTTGCATCAGCTGTTACAGCATCCATTCTCCCGTCGTCCCTCTCTTTTTCTATGTCAGCATCTTTGAAACCAGCTGGGGTAATGGAAACTGACGAAGGTAGAGTGAATAATCCCCTTATGAATTGGAAGTCTTGCTAAAGGGCATCGGATGAATGAGGATTTCACATCTTCTCTATCAGTTATAGGGTTGTTTCTCCATCTTTCAGCGCTCATTAGGTTGAACTGTGTGTCCGTGTCAGCATATTTTGGAACACGAAAACAAACGTTCAGATGTAATGTTTGAATAATCTTCCCTTAGTTTTTCAAGTCACAACCAACTAGTGAAGGAAATTTTGGAGATCCTTAGTCTACCATTTTTGGTTTAGCCTGGTGACAGGTGTCATGTCATAATACTCGTTGGCCAGCTTTGCAGCGAGCGTGCATGTCTGGGCAACACTACACCAAAGTGCGTATTTACGGAATTCCTTAATGTCCTTTGGGAGGTAGGAGTTCAGCACAGAAGCGAGATCTTAGACTATACGAATTTATGTCGGCATCTTCAAGGACAAGAGAAACCTTTGGTTAACGGTTCCCAATTTGTTCACGACAGAGATCAAAGCATTTTGGTGTTTGAAATCTGGTGGCATGGATTGCTCTGTTAAAAAAGAGAGGAAGGCTGTTGGGGAACTAGATGCAAGACCTCTTACTGGGATGTGAGCAAACCCTGTGCAAGACGGGAGAAAAAGTCTTTACTGATCATCTTTCTTTAAAGAGTCAATCCATCACCTGGGTATCCTCAGCCTCCTCCCTCCCCCAGTCCCAGTGCAGAAAAGACCACTGTTTTGGAAATCTCACCCAAAGTAAAAGTCAGTCCATGTGACAAATTTGATAGATGGGGTACCTTGTCCTTTTCTCCTTTTCATTGAGGCTGCTGTTTTACACACAGGTAGAAACTACTCTTATGGGCTACAATCAGCAGGCGTGTAGTAAAATGGTTATTACACATCCTTATAAGCAAAAAATAATACTGTACTAGTTAAAAGGATGATTATTTAGGAATGTCTTCATGATCTTCTCAAAAAGAGTCAGTTTCCTTGGCAGAGCCATGGCTAAAGGCTATATCTTACAGGTACCCCTTTGAGCTGTTGAAGGATCAGCCATAGCAGAGAGGTGAGAGCTCGTCATTCAAGAAAATCAGAGTGAGTTTAAAATAGAGTAACGATAGCTCTTGAAGGGATATAGGTTTGAAAATTCAGTGCTAGACTCCTACCTCCCAAATGAGTTTGAAGGGAAAAGATATGTCATGTTCTGTAGAAAGCTGGGGTACATAAGTCAGCACTTCAGAAAGCTGTGTGTTAAGGTATCCATCCGTATGGTACAGATAGCACATTAAAGTGAGACAGACCATCACTCAGTGTACCTACGTTTGCACTTGCACCTATGACCAAGACAGTTTAGAGGGCATGAACCTTAGGAATATACTGTAATCACAATATTTGTTCTTCACCCGAGGCTTCATTGGAGGGTTTTACCATATTTTTTAATGTTTTAGTCTAAACAGTATCTCCCAAGATGGCTGGCCGTCTGCCCTGGATTTGCCTCAGAACTAACATGCCTGCCTAGCGCCATCATTTCAAGCAAACATTCTAACCGCTGTCAGAGGTCTGAGTATTGCCTTTTCAAAGCCTTGTCTGTTAAATCTTCCCCCTGCATGTTCTAAAGATAGTAGAAATACTTTTCTCTTGTTTTTCTTCACTTTAAGGTCCACAGGGACCTTATTTTCTCCAACTTCTCTCATCTAGGGGGGAAAAAAACGGACCACTTCTTACACCAGTCTCTTAGATGTGTCGGAGGGCTCTTTTGTCAACTTTTGTGAAACACCATTTTAGAAATGACACTTCCCAAGGACCTGCTTCCCATTTTTATCTACATCACATCATACGAAATTTCAAATTGATCAGATGACTATTTTTTAAATAAACATTTAAAAACTCAACTAACACAAGTTCAAAACATATATCCTTTTTAAACTCTGTGTTCTGAATATTTAGAGCAAAAAAAAAAAAAGCCAAGGGTGTGTGTGTATATGTGTGTGTGTGTGTGTGTGTAATGGAATGTTAAATCAAAAGTAGCCTGTTTTCTTTAAAACCTCAAGATAACACTAGTTATGGGTACAGACATTGCTGATTCCCTGGACTTTTGCAACTAGATATTAACCAACGAAGTGAAAATTACTTATCAGACTTTCCAGGAATTTCAGTATTTTTCATATCCTTTTATCTATATTCATCACCTTTTCTGTTCCTACAGTTTCTTATCCCGATAACTTGGGTGTGATTTCCTGACACTGTTCAAAATTGGTAAAGAAAAACCATTTTGTCAACAGAATATTATTATGTAATAACAGTAAGGAGCAAGGGTGGGATTTCTTAAAATTGGTTAACTTTGGGGCCTTACAGCCTTGGCATTGCCCCTTATAGCGTCTTCTGAGTAATTTTAAAACACAAGGTTTGAGGCAGCTGCTCTCTACAAGAAAAATATTATAAGCCACACCTGTGTGAGATACGGCTGGGCTTATTGCTCATGGTTATTACTTGAGAATCTCTCCAGCCTCCCAGAATGAGTAAGGCTGAAATCTGTTCCCTCTGCCCTCCCTTTGTTTACATAAATAATGTCATCAACCTCCAGAAATTTTGACCATAACTTATCTATCAATAGAAAACTCAAGGTCTTGAGAATTAAGTTTGCCCTGACCAGTCTATGTGACCAGCCAGTTAAAATGGTTTCTGGGAGGAGCTTGTCCCAGATCTACTGATTTAGAGTTTTTCTTTGTGTTAATTATCAGATTTTTCCTTCTAGTTTTGGTATTGAAAATTATTTCTCAACCCAGAAAGACTTATTGAGACATTCTAGAATCCCCAATATTTATTATAGTTGTTATAGTAACAGTGGAACCCACTTTTTTCCAAAGCATTGTTCAGCATTCCCTGCCCAGGCAGAACAGATTCCAGAGGGAGGTGAGCTCTCCCGGTTGTGGGCATGAGGCTTCAGTTTCCTAAGTTATTTGTTGTTATAATGATGGATACCACCTAGTCTGGCACCTGGTCCACATCTTTTCTGAAATCTGCTATAAGAGGGAGCGAAGGGCAGCCTAGAGAGCCCCCACAATAGCTGGAGCGGGGTCTGGATGACCTGGAGAACAGTTCCCAAGCATTGTACTAGCACAGTCCCTCTTCAGCACTGCTTGTGCTCGGACGCTTGTAGGAAAGCCATATGAAAGGGCAGGTGTGTGCAGAGAAGGAAGTTGTGTAGTCGACAAACAGCGTTGTTACTCTTATCTTGAGTCGAGCAGAGAACTGTATTAACAATAGAGTTTTGTGCCACTGACAGGGTGTAGAAGAGGGAATCTGTGTTACTTTGAGACTTGTGACCTGACCGGCCTATGTCTAGCCAGCCAGAGGGAGCGGGGTCAGGGTTAGCTGCCTTCATCTATGCAGTCACAAAGGTTAAGATGATACTGGAGAGCATGTTCCCTACCAGGAGGCCTTAGCCTCACGCCCCAGCAACCTTGGCGAGACTTGCTAAATAACACCTTTGTCCGAGACAGGGTTATGCACCTTCTCTTCTACATCCTCATGACAAGTCTAGGTGGCTTAAGATCAAGAAGCGAGGACATGGGCGTGAACCATCTCTCTGAGCAGCTCTAAAGTAGGGCCATGCACCCTGCCTTCCTGTAAGTTCTTGCCCAGATTCCCTTCACTCCTTTGATGTAGCTGTCCCTCAAAAAACTTTTTTTTTACATGTCGAAATGCATGTACTAAGGAGGAGGCCTACCATAGATCTTGATTTGCAGCAATAAAGATGTGGGGGGTTTTTCTGTCTGTCAAAGAACCTTTATGAAGATGTCAGGAAGCCTCACTTGCCCTTTCTCAGTGCACTGTGACCAATAGCTGTTTTTCCTAATAGAAATGTCAGCAGGCACTTTCCAAGAAAGGATCTGGTTTTGCTTCCTAGATGACTAAGAGACTAGCTGGTGGTGTACTTTTTTTAAGGCTTTTCTGGATGACGGGTTATTTCCTTGTGCTTAGAGATTACTTGCTTTTTCTTGCCTTCAGTTATGTTAAAGAAAAGGGTGGAAATGTTATTTATTGGCTAGAAATCACTTAATAAGTCTTTTTCGTGATGAGAACTTAATTCGTTAAAACTTTCTACTGTAAATTGTAAGTCTTTTAAAAGAGAAGAAGGAAACACTCTTAAAATTAAATGATAACTGTATTGGCTCCCTGTGTCTTTATTTGCCGGTGGAGGCACTGTATTTGGCTCTTAGAACCATTCGGCAATTCCACAAGTCAAGGGAAAGCCTGACGTTTGATGTCCAGTCTGATCTCTGATAATGCCAAAGAAGTCCCCTGTCAAGGAAAGGGATCCCCTCACAATAAAAAAGACCTTTTCTTCACCTCTTCGGCCCTTTTGTTTTAAACCAGCGTAGTGGCTGTAGCGGTTCCTCCCACTCAGAATCCACTACCTGGCCTTGGCCTCCGTCCTGGCACCCTGCCCGCCGCTAACTCG